GGAATGCCTGGAAAGGAGCACTGTTTGTATTTCTGGAGATACAGGTAAAGAGAACTGCTACCATACAACTTTCATTCTGTTCATTTAAAAGTAACGATGCAGGAGAAAGTGTGAGATGTCCAATGATACGACAAACATCAAATGGGCAAAACATCAGTATTCAGATGAAGAGAAAAACCCCCATGTAGCTATGTGCTGTCTATAACGGTTGTTTATACCTATTTTCCACATGGATAAACTTGCCTGTATACTCTCCCCGTTCACACACAAGCTCGATACCTTCTGAAGAGTGATCTCATTTGAGGTTGAACCCAAACATGAAAACTAGGGTCATTTCGATATTCCATTTCACCTCGGTGGTTCTAATTAAGGCTAGCACACGTTAAGGATGAGTAACTGTCATTTCAAATAGATACCAATGAAATAAACTAAACCAAATTCCAATGTACACTTTGGTGAGTAATTACTGCTGAGCTCAACAGACATTAGAAATAAAACGCAAGACAGAAATCTTTACTGATTTGCTGGTATGTTACTTTCTAGTAAAATACACCTTACATAACAAGTTAAAAAGTTATTTACTTAGTACAAATTATAAAAAACTTACCATTGCTAAACTAGAAGAAATATAAACTTCTGACATTTCATACAGTAGACTCTCACTGCGCCACTCGACAAATATCAGTCACCATTGCTGATATCCATGGTGTAATACAAATGCCTTTTTTACTAGTTCATGCCATCACATTAACAAGATTTTGAAAACTGTTGAGAAAAAGACAAAGGCATCAATAAAACATTTCAATTATTTCATTAGAAATTAAGAAGAATGCAACAGGACATATAGAGAGTAACAGGGTTTTTTAAGAAGCAATTACCAGTTTTACAAGTGTCCTACATAAAGAACACTATGCTATAAGTAATTAAGAATGTGAAATGCTAATTTAGGTTTCAAATGTAAAATATCATTCTTTGTTATTTTTAAGTGATTCACTGCATCATACTAAAGACGGGCAACCAAATGAATTCACAATAGAGTGTCAAATGTTAAGGTGTTCAAACCTCACAAGATATCTGAATAGACACAAGAAAAGCAGTGAAAGATATTACAACAACTAATGAATTATGAAATGCATTGTCAAATATATTTCATAATTAGATACACACTGAAAAGCAATTATTTCTGCTATTTAATCAACTGAGCAGAACTCAAAACTTACATTGGCTCTAAATCTCTGAATAACCTTCATCTACTTAAGAGATAAGATAAGGGTAGATGAACTCTGCTTTCCAGAGTTCACATTAAACCTATTCTTCACCCAAGGAAAACAATGTATACTACCTTATTTATGGTGGAAGTGAACCAATTTTGCTATTGAAAGACAGAAATAACTCTATGGATTCAAAAGCCACACAATGCTTTCAGTTGTCTCCAAAGTTTGTGCATCAGTGCCAATGCCCAACAGCTGTTAGTTGAAAAAACATACCAGGAATCACATGTATTTTAAAAACATCTCGTGCTATGGAGGGACCATAAATCACTATAGAATAGCGATTACTGAATCTTTCTTCATATTCTGTTGACTTCATAAAAGTGAACTTATTTCATATTGACAATTCAGAAACTTCATGATGCAAAACACAAGCTGACAGGTTTCTCCACATTTTTCTTTCTACAGAGTTATTAGATTGTATACATCCAAAGGCTTTGGAAATTGTCTTCTTTACTTTCAACCTACTTATTATTTCATACTGGGAAGAGCAGAAAATAAATTCCTCATTAAGTTGACAATTCAAAATATAAACTGAGCCAAATAAGAGGAGAAGAGATTAATTATGTCTAGTTACAGTGCAACTCGATTATGAAAGATACTTCTACAATGATGTTACATGAAGTATCATAAATTCTATTATATGGATAACTAAATCAAATTAGATTTCAATTATTCAGTGGAATTTCTTAAAGTAACAAACAGCAGAGAACTGTCATAATAAAAGACAAAGAATGGAAAAACAAGGCAGCAAGGAAAAACACTTGAAAATGCAAGACAGAAACGACTGAAAGGAACGAGCAAAAAGGAACAGTTGCTACTTAGCCGTACCAGGAATGGAACCAGAAACGGTGAGAGAGGAACGCCATAAAGAGCTCCCATACCAAGTGACTTCAGCCTGTCTCCCCCTATCCCCCTCACCATAAATTTTCTTCTGTTTTTAAGATTCTGGTACACTTTCAGTTAAACCTGTATTGTTGCCTTTCCTATAGATCCCTTTAATTGACAGGAACAACATATATGTGGATACAAAAAGCAAAACGAGATTTGACAGATTATTGCAAAAAACAAATAACATACCCCAACAAAAATCCCATAGCTCAGTAATTTTGGTAAAATACAAAATACACAAAAAAGCCTGAAACAAAATATAACAGTGAGTCAACCAGAAGGAGGCCTGATCTCAAAATTTTTAATTACTTTACCAGTCCATAAGTAAAGAACATTCACATAAGTTGTTTCAGGAACATCTGAAATACTAATGTCAATCTTTCCTCAGATTTGTAGTGTACAAATCTACTACGCTAATTTTCTTTCCCTCAAAACAATCCTGTTTTAGTCACAGCAGGAAAGACACAACCCCTGCTGTGCCTAAGTCACCTCTGAGGAGAGCAAGAGCATTTTAGAAACAGCAAAAAGAATGTGCAAATAACACAAGAGGAGAAACCAAGGTGGGGGGAAAAAAGTTTTACCGAGTCAGAATTTTCTGTTTAATAGTAGGTTGGTTCT